CTTGCTACTGAATGTAATCTCGGAGTGAGTGGGGTGAGGGCAATGGCCTGCTGACTTTAGGCTTCACTGCAGGTGATCTGGGTAGGCTCTTTGTTTGGGAATGTTCAGTATTGCTATCTTTTGTTGTTTCCACTGGAGCTGGTCAGATTCCCCAGAAAAGTCTTCCAGACTCTTGTGTAGAGGGTGAAGTACTGGGAACAGACAGGGGTGGCAGCTCTGGGGGTCTCACGTTTAGCATGTTTCCAGTATCTCAATCTCATTTTTGTGGTATGATACCCACATTCTCATAAATGCTGCTAGATTTCTAGGTCCCCAAATCTTCTGTTTTACCCTCTCTAGAGAATTAACTTTTGGACTTCTGATGAGGTGATAGAGGAAGTTCAGGGACCTAGCTAAAGATCTCTCTCCTCCTCCCACTTCCAGAGCTACCTGCGGGTGTCAATATACAATCCTTCTGGAGGATTCTCTTGTATAATTAGGGTTGATCCTCAGCCTTTCCCACTGCTGCCTTAGTATTTAGCGTTTTCTGTGTCTTTGTGGAATTATGCCTAAAACGAATGCCTTACTTTATTTTCAGTTGGGTTTTAGGAGAGAGTAAAATTTGACATATATTCAATTTTGACCCTGAAATTTACTCTTACCTTTGCAACACTTTTTCCTCTGACAAGCAATACAAGTCAGACATCTTAATAATTTTAAATATAACATCACTGCTACTCACGGTTGAGTCATTTATTTAAGAACACATAAAGAGTAACTCCACGCCCGGCAGGACCAGCACTGGATATGGTGCTGAACAAGACAGCCAGATCCTTGCTCTCATGGAGGCCACAGTTCACTGAGTACTCAGTAACAACTCCTCCCTGACTTCACGCTTGCTTCAAGAGCTCCCCTCTGGCAAGCCAGGGTTTGGACCATCCTGGCATCATCTCCCTGTCCTTTCCACAGTCATCCTCTGAGGATTTATATACTTTAAATACCTACAGGGTGAATCGAGTCCCATCTTTGAGTGCATGTAAATTCCAGGCCAGCTGGCTCTGTCCACTGACTCTTTCCCCATTCGGCCCTCTCCTTCCCTTTTCCCTACGGATATCTGTTGACTCCTGAGTTTGGCCAGGAAGGCCAAGGAGCATGTGAGCTCCCTGAGCTGAATGCCCCATTGAACGTGCAGCCTGTCCTCAGATTCCTGACACAGAGTCTGACTCACCTTCTTCTCTGTTGCAGGTCAGAGATTTCGTCCTGGCAGCAGGCATCGCAGGAGTGGGCTTAGCAGCCATGGGCCTCGTCGGAGTCATGTTCTCAAGAAACAAGCAACAAAAGCATTAAGTTGAAAGGACTGTCCTGTCAGGAATGACTTTATACATTAAGGGAGTCTCGTTTTGCTACAGAGTTTGTGGTTTGGTTTGTGGATTCCATTCTGTTTCATAGGAAGGCTTATTGTCACAGAATAAAATAAAGCACAGTAAGAGAGGATTTTACTGGGGGAAATGCAGCAAGAATTGCCTGGTGTGAGTCTGTTGAGGGAACAGCTCAGCTCCGTTCCTGGGTTTTCTTTCACTTTCTCTTTGTGGGCTGTGTTCTTTGCACTGCAGGAAACAGAGTTCAACTCCAGTTAAGTAAAGGGTGTTGCTGGTTGTCAGGATACACGTGGGCAGCAAGGGAGACAGACAGACCCGATACACAGGACAGCCAGCCAGGACCTTTGGCCTGGAACTAGGTTCAGTATGGCTTCTAAGATTCAGCACCTAGAGTCTGTAGATATTCAATGGGGTTAAAAAAAACAAAACAAAATAGTCCTCTGCCATAAGGAAACTCAGTATATGCTCTTGACAGTCTTGCTAAAACTTCCCTTATTTTCCTCTGCTACACATCTTTCCTCTGCCTTGTCCCTTCTACCCCTTCGGTGCTCCTGGTTCCTCACCACTTCTGCTTGCCTTGACCCTCACGTCTCTGATCCCACATCCCCACCTTCTTTTCTCCCGCCAGCTCAGCTTTCTCTTTCCCCGCTGCCAGCCAGCTGCTCTGTGCTCCCAGGGGAGAATCTGATTGGCTCAGCTCACCACAGAGCTCGGCATTCCTATTGGCTATCTTTGTGTCAGGTGACCTCCATTGGAGTCACCTCTGCCTGATGGTGGAGTCACATGGTACAAACGTTGCCTCAGACTTTAGGGGGTAGGAGTGTGACTGGCCCCATAATTGATATCCCTGCTATTGAGCTCTCAGGAGAGGGGCTGGGAGAAGGTAGCACCTGTGGCTGGTCATTTGAGGTCTTATAGCTACTCACTGGGTGCGGTAAACTTTCAAAGTGACTGTTTCTCTGAAGGGGGCTTTTGTGGGTTTCTCAGAAAGGTTCTCCTGGGGCCGACTGTCCTTCCTTCCACAGAACCATGCTTCCCTTCTACCCAGTTGCCACTGTTTCCTTCATCAGCCCTGGTTGTCTGGGGACAATCCTGTCTGTTGGGGTCCTGGACAGGATTTACAAATGGCTCCATTCTAGCTCCATCCAGATCTGGTAAAGGATGAACACCTGCCCATCTATGTCCCAGTGTCCATAGAAGAATCATTTTCTTCCTTTGCAGTTTCTTTTTGTCCCAGCTCTGTTGATGTAACATCTAAGGCCAGTTCCCAAACTCCCCAAACCTAAAGGACACAGGCCGAGCTCAAACTGTGGGTCTTTTGAAGCTCTCTTGCTCTGTCACATGGCATAAAGTAAAGGGGACACATACAGTGTAAACCTCCAAACTAATCATGGAGAAACAAAGGAATGAGGAAAAACAAGCCCAAGAAAGTAAAACAAAACAGTTGGTCCAATTCAACCAACCAACAAACCAACTGAACAAACAAACAATAAAGGAGGAAAAATTACACAAAAAAGTGGCATGTGTAGAAATAACAAAATAAAATGGAGGAACTAATTCCAAATATGTAGATAATCATAAGCATAAATTGACTACACTTGCAAAATAAAAGACAAACATTCCACAGGGAATACAGTTTACAGCAGGCACATTAAAATATAAGGATACAAAGATTGAAATGAAAAGGGTGGACTTTTTACATGACAACGGGTCTGATATCTTAAAAATTGAATGTTATTGAGGAGAAAAATTGGGGGTGTGTGAAAGCTGTCCTAGGTTTTGTTAGAGACAAAACAACTAAATGTGAAAAGCAACTGTAAAAGCAATTTGGGATAATTAGAAAATTTTGAATATGGACTGGGT